AAATCTGTTATGACAGCATATGAGATGTGATTAGGCACTGTAGCAGTATATCCACTCAGCTAAGTGTCTAGGAGAAACTTGGCTCCTTAAAGTTTAGGGAAGATTCCAGCAGTATATGGTGAAAATTATTTAAACAGAGAATTTTAAAAGAGAGATTGTGATTGCAGGTACCTTACAAAGCATCAGGCCCCTTTGTACAGCTTAGCTGTTACCTGTCAAATTCTACTCCAACCACTTCAATTTCTGAAATTAGAGGTGTGGCAAATATGGAACACACAATTATGTAACATACTTCAAAGCAATGAGCTCACTGATATACATGAACAAAATATAACTTTTATTACTCACAATCTAGTCTTATTTCAAAAGGCAAAACAGAGCTACAGAGCTAATATCACTAAGACATCAAATGACAGTCTTCAAGTCAAGGCAAATGAGTAAATACCACCATAAAGGGTCTGGTTTGATTTCACTTGTACCATACTCTGAATTTGGGGGGTGGGTGACTGAAAACGTGGCCGCAGGCTCACAAGGCAAGATTTCTCCAACGAGCTACATCCTTAAACCCAATTTGTGTGTGGTGCTGGAGATTAAACTCAGGGCTTTGCCTGTGCTGGGCAAGAACACCACCACTGAGCTATACACCCTAGTCCTCCTTTTGCTTTCTGAGACAGGGTCTCACTAAGTCACCAGGCTGGCCTTGACCTCTCTCTATAGTCCAGGCAGGCTTCCGGCTTGTGACTCTCCTGCCTTAGCCTCCTGCGAGCCTGAGATTACAGGCTTCCATCACCAGACCTGCTTTTTGTTTACTTTAGGCTAGTTGGAAGACTCTGGAGTAAACTTAGTACGTAGCAAATAATTCTCAACATGTGTGAACGCTACACTTCACAGTGAATTTAAAATCTAAATAGTTTTGCTGGATTGGATGGCTTTGTACTAAAGGGTCCACACTTTGGTTTCTGACCAGCCTCATAAATTTGCCAAGTGTATGGCTGGAGCTGCATGGACCATGAAGAGCACTGAGGCTGGGCTTTCCAGACATGACTCACTGTGTAGTGAATCTTAACCAGTTACAGGCTGATCAAAACAGGGCAGGTGATTTTTGCCTTCTTGGACTCAACTAGATGAAGCCAATTTAATATCATTCTTCCTACTTAAGATCCAGTTTTCAAGTTCTACGGTTTAAAACAAAACTAGCTACTGGAAGTCAACAGACTCTTTGCAAAAACAAATGCTTATGTATCATCTAGAAACTCAAAGAATTTGTGGTATGCAGAAAATTGAAAATGGAACATAGCATTACTATTCAAATTAAGATGCCTCCTTCAGGAAGCTGAACTTTCTGAATTATTTTACCAATGTTTCTTTTAATATTAATGTTTCTTGTCAGGTGAGACGATGCTGATCTTTAATCTCAGCTACTCAGGAGGCTGAGTCAGGAAGATTGTGAGTTGTCTACCTACGCAACTTAGCAAGACCCTGTCTCAAAATTTAAAAAGGCGAGGGATGTAGCTCAGTGGTTGAGTGTTTGCCTAGCATGTGCAAAGCCCTGTGTACAATCACCAGTACTATGAAAAAGAAAACAATAAACCCCCAAATCAGTATTTCTCTATAAATATATTTCAAAATCCTCAAGTGATATTTGAAGTTGTACTTAAAAATTAATGATAACAATGTGTAGCTTCTGGAAAACTTGATTTTGGCATAACATTTCTAAATGACAAATAGTATTACTACCTGGAATTAGAACAGGGAGGGGGAAGTGTTAGAAAATTCAGCAATTTTCCCATGCAAGTAATGCACACACTTTGTTATCTCCTTGGTGCACAAACAGCTGCCAAAGCCTTGGAAAGACATCAATCTTAAACAATCACATTATTCCCACTCAAACAGAGGGTGTTGCACAGCTAAAATACGTTGCTCTGGTTTTGGGTCTCTATGTAGTCATGAAGAAAGGCAGAATTTTGGTGCATGCCAAATAAAAGTTAAGTTTAAATGTCCTCAATTCAGTGCAGCTTATGATTTCCCTTTATTTGACTTAGAAGTCTTTAGAGCTTTTCAAAGGTCTACTGCATTTGAAGCAGACATAAATTACTGTGCAACAGAGGAAGGTGCGTGCTTAAGATCGCAGGGAGCAATCCTCTTTTCAGTCCCAATTCTAACCACCTTAGCTCTGAGAAGAATCCAAACACCTAGAATGAAATGTTTTCCTGTTTCATTAACTAGACAGCTTCAGAGAAAAATGATCCGAATGAAGAGGCTTCAAAAATAACAGTGCCAGATGACGTGATTAAGACGGTGAAAAAAAAAAATCCACCCCCAATCTATTGGAATGGAATTAACTGCAAGTGAATGACATGACTTTATTGAAATGGTTTATCTGAATCCTCAGTATCTGCCACGGCATTATCCAAACTCTAAGAGGAGAAAAATCAACTCTAATACATTCTAGTACATTCTGGCTGTCACCTGCTTTAAGTCAGTTCTAGGAGGAACACTGTTTCATCTTTATTATCTGCTACCTAATCCAAGAATTTAATTCTGAACTTTGGCCCATCAAATAGATTGGTGCTAAAGCAAAACTAAACAAACAGAAAAACAAAACAACCCCCTAAGAGTCCTTAGCTCAGCAGTCACCTCACTTAAGTCATTGAGGTCATAAACGGTTCCCCTATCACTTAGTGTCAAATAATCTCGTACAAATTTTGAAAAACAAGTCAATACAGTAATTTCATCTCCCATTTGCAAAAAAATATAGCAAGAAAACTATGTATCGTAAGAAAAAAATAAAGCAAAAGGTTCACTCTGAGAACCACTGCTGACTCCTGACTAACACTGTTCTAGGAATTAGTATCTCTCAGGAAACCCTGTGATGAAGAATTTTAAGATCAAATCTAAAATCAAACATTTATAGCTATCTCTTAAACACCACTGCCCATTAAAGGTATGTCAAGAATTTATAAAAATTATGGGGCAGGGATGTAGAAGAGGGCACAAAGCCCTGGGTTCAATCCCCAGTACTGTATAAATGGCATGGTGGTGCAGGCCTGAAATGCCAGCATGCAGAATTGCATATATGAAAACTCAGGTTTAGAGGCATAAAGCAAGTAGCCCAAGGACAGGACAGGGCTCTGACACCAGAGCCCATACCATGAGCTACTTCATATGATACAACGACACAGGAACACACAGGGCATCCATGTTGTTTGTAATTTCTGAAAATGTTGATGAGGAATGTATATTTTTTAAATTTTATTTTTATGTGTATGAGTGTTTTGCCTAGACGTATATAAGCACACCACATGTGTGTAATGCCTGGGGAGGCCAGAAGAGGATGCTTGATCCCCTGGAACTGGAGTTACAGATGATTGTTAGCCACCATGTGGCCCTCTGGAAGAGCAGTCAGTGCTCTTAACCACTGAGGAATGGATATTTTTGAAGGAAAACTTAGTCACTCTTGTGAACTATTAACGCTGGGGTTTAGCTTGTATTACCTAACCTGAAGAGGAAAATATGAGTCAACTTTTGAGGGCATGCTTTTTATGCCTTATGTATTCAAATGCATATTTTATTCATGTTCAAAATGTGTATCACTTTAAAAATCAATGCTCTGCTAAATTCTTAATATGTTCATCAGAAAAGCTTTTTATTCTCAAAAACTAGCCTTACATACTCTACAGCTACAGATCATCAGCAGATATTTAGAGTAATTTGAGAATCTGCTTCTGCAAACAGAAGATACCTGATTTGAGTACTTTTTATAGAATCTTATTTCTGGTCTTAAAACATGCTAGTGGTGGTGTTAACATGAAAAGGGAAGCTAGTCTAGAACAAAGTCCTCTTCTGTCAAAGCGAAGCGAATTCCAAACACTGTTCTATGATGAAAAACTAAGCATGAGGTGTCAGAAATGTAATGGCTGGTCCTGTTCATGCTTTCAAATAAACAATGGTAGATCAAATGGGTTTGGTTGATTTCAAATTCAAACACAACATAATCTAAAATAAAAATATACTTAAAGACCTATCTATAGGAGTCGGAATTTTAAGGCAACCACGTAAACGACACCCTCTTTGGGGGGCGCTTGGTGATTACAGTGCCATTTCTTTTGACAACCCGAATAACCTGAATAAGCTTTCGAGCCACAGACTTTAGGAGTGGTGGGACTTGAGAGACTGGAAAGAGACACCGTGGACACTCCTCACAGCAAGAGTCAGTGTGATATCATTAATAAAATAAGCTGCGTCTATAGACAGCACACTATGCCACCAGGTCTTGGAGGCCAGCTTCCCACAGGCAATAGAAACAGCATGCAAAGACACAGGCAAGGGAGGCCTTTCCTATGACGTCACTGCTCATTTGCTTTCAGAAGCCTAAAAGATTCATACTGGTGTCACCAAAGTGAGCGCCATTTCTCAAACCTAATATGAACAATTCCCTCACTATTCTAAGAAAAGTTTATTTTGTTTAACATACTCACAAGGTATCCTTAAGAATATAGTAAAAGTTGATTTGAAAATATTTAATATTTCAAATTTTAGCATTAATGAAAGTTTCTACACACTGTGTTATTTTGTTTTATTAACTGATTCCAAAAACCCGTAAAAGGTGTGGGAAAATATTGGTGATATAAAAATATTGACTGCTTCTGCAAGAAACAGTATATTTTAAAATGAAATGGAGATCTTTTTTAAAGGTTAAAAACTCAATTTTATGTCTTACAGGGTTTTTACTGAGCTCAATATTGTATAACTGTATTATTTCAACTGTGAACCTAAAAATTTTATAGCCACTTTTGAAAGAGATGTATCTTTGCTCTGGAAATTGTTATTGAGTACATTAAAGCTGTAATGAAATACTTCTTAAAAAAATTAAATGATAATAAAAATGTCTAAAAAATATTGAATGCATCATGAATTTATGTGTCCTCCTTGCACAGAGGCATGGTACTAACACTCTCTGCATCATTCTAATTTACTCTACGTGCTGCTGAAGTGCCCTAACACTTGATTTTGAATCTCTGGTCAACCAAAAACATTACTTTGAAGAGTAAAAGCTTAAAAAAGACTGGTGCTTGTCACTTATGGTGGCCGACTACTCAGTGCTATAGATTCCAGAGACTTCCTAGACTTCATTTCTATCTCTCCTCCTCACTAGTAGGGATCCCCACGTTAAGGAAAGTCTTTTCAAATCTTAAACCACCCAATCATAAAAGAAGAGTTTTCACAGCCTCCTATGATTTGTCCTACCATAATCAGAGGCATGGAGTGGCTGTCCTTAATTCCAAGTGTTTACATTCTCATTGGATTGACTCAACTCTCTTTTTTGTTTTTTAGTTTTGTGGTGCTGAGGACCAAATCCAGGGCATTGCACATGTTAGGCAGGTTATATCCTCAAGTGTGATTTCCCTTGTAAGTACTTAGTGTAATGTTTGTGTTTTAGTTATTCACAAACAAAATCCCCAGAATTTGAAACACTGAGAACAGGATCATCAATAAATTATTTTTAAATTTTATCATTTTTATTTTTTGTGTACGAGTGTATTGGCTGTTAGGTATGTAGGTGCATCTGTGTTGTGCAATGTCGGTGCAGGACAGAAGATTCCCCTGGAACTGGAGTAAAGGACTGTTGTTAGCTGCCATGTGGGTGCTGGGAAATGAATCCAGGTCCTCTGCAAGAGTAGCCAGTGCTCTTAACTGCTGAAACATCTCTCCAGCCTCATCAATAAGTTATTTTGAAGTAATAAGTTACAGTATTTTTCAAAACGCAGATAAAGCCACAGATATCTAAAAAGAAACCATCCCACCAATAACAGCATGAATGGTTTGGGGGCTTGGTAGTAAATTACTAAAAACACATCCCATTTTAAATGGGAGCACAGAAAAAAACATACTATAAAAATAAACTACACCTGTGGTTTTCACTAATTATATCACTCATTATTTCAAACCAAATGATGCTCCTAATTTAGTTTAATTTCTATTTTTACTAAGATTGCCAACCATCAAAAATTCAAGAGTAATTTTTAATGAGTAAGTTTGGTGACTTACAGTCTACAGTTAAAGGAGCCAAAGCACCTGAGGATCAAATTTAAAAGCACTTTTCAGTGTGTCCTCAAAAATCTCTCCATCAGCTGGACCTGCAAACTCTTCCCATGGATTTTTTATGTTTGCCTGCTCTCCCAAGTTAAAGTCATTGCCAAGCTCAAAAGAGCAAAATAATGAAGTCTAAACACCACCTGTTTCCTTGTAGGCCATTTTGTTGAGCAAAGAACACCTAAGCAATTCTTATCTGCACTTATTCAGAAATTGCAAAAGAAAAATTCATTAATTTTTGACTTGTCTCCTATTTCTACGATAGTTTAAGTAGGAACATAACATCTCGAATAAGACTAATATTTAAATGACCATATTTAAATATTTAAATGATATAGTATAATGACTAAAACTAGGTTTCTTGACCTTTTGTGTAATAGCTACGGTTCAAACTTCCTTTTAAGTTGTGCTGGGCTCTATATTCTCAAGGACTGTGCAGCGTTTGAATTGTCATATTAGAGATAAAGCAAGTTAATGTAAAGTGACAGGAACTGAACCGTTCTGCAGAGCAGGGGAAGGACAGAGCATGCGTTGAACCTTTGTCTCTGAAGCATTACTATGGATTCCAGAGCAGTAATTAATTGAAAGCACATGCTGTTGAGTCAGTACCTGCCAGAAATCCTGATCAGGAGAAAAAAAAAAAAAAAAAGATCAAGTTGACATTGATTATATGAACCAAAACTCCTAAACCAAACATATATATCACAAAACATAACATATGAAGGAGCAATTACAACCTGTAAAATTATCACCCAAAACCTGGAAATAAACATGAAAACCACACAGAAATGTTCTAAACAGTATCTGTTAGGTGAAATAAAACAAAACACTGCAACATGACCTCCCTGCATGAAATCATACAGTTGCAGGAAAACTTCACATTTCTATAGAAAGAAAAGACATGATTATCTTTTTTAAAGAAAAGCAAATATTTCATTTCTTCCCCTGGGCAGTCAAAGCATTTCTCAAATTCGAGTTTCCTATTAGGATGCCTCACACTTTCAGAGAGATACAACTTCATGGAAAATTGGTTACTTTCACATTTTTCTTAACATACAAACAACCAATTTGGATGAATTCAAAGGATTAGTAACTATTCAATGGAGGAGTTTAGTATTAAACATGTTATCCTCTAAAACTATGATGTTCCACTAAATACAGTGCTGTCCTTGTGGGTAAAGTAGATCAGTCACAATGGAGGCTAGCCTTTGAGAAATGTTCAGGTTGGTTAATTTAGCTGGCCCCACTCCAATGTATCTTCAAATATCAAGTGGTTTTAAATATTGTTTTCAATAAACTTCATTGCCTGTGAAATAAAGTGACTTAAACTTACCACCATTTTCAAACCATACTTAGTATCATTACAAAAGTTCTTGAGTAGCAATGTACAAGTCTACAGTGGGGACTGATGTGACAGAGGCCCAAAGGACTGTACAGTAGAGAGATGGATAATCCAAGCTTATCACAGAGACAGCACAAGGGTATTTTCACAGCTGGCTGAACTGGGAAGGAAATAACTGTGAAGAGAATGACTATGCACAGAATACTATTGGTATAAATCAAGACAGAAGGTAATAGATCTATGTATGTTAGTAGGTAAATCCTTCCATAAAATGAGCATGGAGCTTATCACCATGTAAAACAGTTACAAATATGTAAGCCAGATGCTTTACCTACTGCCCCAACTATGTCAATAAAGTAGCTGACACACGAGGTTAATGGCTCTCTTGTCCAGAGTCACCCATAATTGCACAGGAGAGCCCATGTGTGAATGAATACATGATTACCTGAAGGTGACACTCTGATAAACACTGTGACATCCAGTAATTAACAGTGTTTTTCTTTTTTTACACTTAGTTCAGCTGCCTTATAATATCTACTACTCACTTGCACACGGGTATTAGATGCTGAGATGCTCACAACTGAAATGCTTTGGAAAACAATCCACAAACCAAGGCTAGATTTTTTTTTTTAAAGAGATATTGGGTGGAAAAATGACTAAGATTGTTAATTTGTAAGAAGAGAAAAAAATTAAGAATAGATTTTGAAACTAATTTAAGGAACTTTAAATGAGAAAGAAAATCATGACTAAAATTTAGGAAGTGTCAAAGCATTTTTTTGGTGCTGGAAGTCAAACCCGGAGCCTCACCTGTGCTGAGCCCATGCTTCACCCAGGAGCTACACCTCTAGCTCAAAAGATCTTCTGACATGTTGCATCAGCTTGAGGTCACTATGCTAATTTCACTTTAAACTTCAAGCTCATAAAAAAATAAAAGAAACAGTTCCATCCAAATAATGTTACATTTAACGCATGGCTAATCAATACTGAAAAGAAAATATACATGGTTTCATTTGAACAGAAATAACATTTTATCTGCTGGCCCTGATTACAATCAGCAGATATCCAATTTCTCAAATACAGAAGACAGTGCTCTTTTAAGAGTGACAGATTCAATAAAAAAAGCAGCACTTTTCAAAATGCCAATTGATGCTGATGGTGTTTGATAAAATGATGGTGTTTTATCATAAACTAGTATCAAATAATAGTGACCTTGATATTCCAGCTTCCAGCTTCAGGTAAAATTTGTACACTTTGGGGCTGGAGAGATGGCTCAGTGCCCTCTTCTGACCTCCACGGCATTGCGTGACACAGGTGCACTCACATATATGCAGACAATACACTCATATACATAAAATAAAAATAATTTAAAAAACATTTAAAATTTGTACACTTCACATTTTCTTGCCTTAAATTGTGTCATGTGTTCTTTTTCCATTTATTATTGGTTTCCAACTGTGCTTTAATCAAAGTAGAAAACATTGGAGCTGGATCTAGTACTATATGCTTTAGTCCCAGTTTACATGGGAGGCAGGAGCATGAATGCTTAGACATGCAAGCTCAGGACTGGGCAGTATCTTCAGACTTTGTCTCAAAACAAAAAATCAAATCTAAAACCAAACCAAAAACCACCACCAAAAACCCAGTGGAACAATTAAGTTCAACAACTCCCACCGAACAAAAGTGAAAACATCAGGGCTTTTTTTTTTTTGCTATTTTTTTCATGACAATATTAAATAAGTCAGTTAATTACAAGAACATTTGATGAGAAAATATTTCTATTTATAAATAGGTCAAATAGAAAATACCCTAGCTATATGAAAAGAGGCATAATACAGTGCTCGAGAGGACTCTGCCACAGCCTGATTTCAGGCCAGCTATCTAACTTTTCCATGCTCTTAACTTGTACAATGACAAGAGTAAGGTGCTCTCTGAGCAAGTGGCCCCACAGATGGGGTGAGCAACTGTGGGACTAACAACAGTCAAGAACTTCCATGTCATTAAATTCGTGACAATTATACCTCCTGAAACAAATACATTTTTTATTTAGAGACTTCACTTCAAACTAGGAAAGTAAACCACTGACAGCCAGTAAGTATGTTATTGGGGTTTTTAAAGAATACTACATCATCACCCTCAAGCAACACGTAAGTGAAATATCTGCAGGGAACTTCAGGCTTCAAGAAGCTCCCAAACTCCATGCATTCTCCTGCCATCTCATTGGTGGGTAAATAAAAATACAGATCACAAGAAAAAGGAGCGAAATTCTGCCTATTTGTATTTAGCATCAATAAAATCTAAAAAATATATTAATTCAACAAGAATTTGGACTGGTTTTAAGTCTCTCAAAGGCAAGCACGGGGAGGGAAGGAGGGAGAGGGAGACGGGCCGGGAGAAGGAGATGGAACACTAATCAACAGTAGGTACCTGGTGAGTCAAACTACCAACATTTGAGCTGAAAACAATTCAAATAAATGTGCAGACTCATCAAACCACACTCATGAGACTTTCCGTTTCTACAAAACATTTCACTCTTAGAAGATAAAAAAAATCCTTTAATAATCAAGGAGAAATACTAGCTGAGTATGGTGACACACACCTGTAATCCCAGTATTAAGGAAACTGACTCAGGGGATCGCCTTAAATTCAAGGCCAGCCTGGGCTACATAGCAGGATTCCTTGGTTTGTGATATGAAACAAGTAATTAGGGCTCACATAATGCACCTCACAGGAGGAAGTGTGCTGTATTCCCATAGGGGGACCAAAGGGCACATTTAAAAATTCATTTATCAGTATGTTTTTTATTGCTTTTTCTTTGTATAATTGTTTACACTTATTTTCCTTTTCTTTTGTTTTACAAACACTTGTGTTGATGGCTGACTTTGAATAGACTGAAGCAGGGGAGCTGTTCCCCAACACACAGAATCTCACTCAACACATCAGCATTTTTAAAGGACTTTTGGGGCTGGGGATGCAGTTTGGTGATAGAGCATATGCTTTGCATACAGAAGGCCCTGGGTTCAATCTCCAACGTAAACAAGAAAAACAGATGAACAGACAGGGAAGAAGGATGAAGTGGAGGAAGAGGGGGATGGTTGGAAGGGGGAGAGGAGGAGACAAAAGGAAACACACAGTGGAATGACAGTGAACAATGGACGTCAATGGGCAATTTGTTGTTACTGTACTTGGAAACAGGGTATGAACTTTGCAGCTTTTGGAAGAGAAACAAGATTGCATTAAAGCTCTGGAAATTAGTACTTTCTGCTCAAGGAATAAGCATGCAGTTGTCTATCTTGGTGTTTGAAGAAAACATGGTGGTATTTAATTTAGAGAAAGCGGTATATTACACATAATAGGAACAGAAAATACGGAATATAATTTCTATATTTAGTGTGCTGAAAAAAAAAGAATAAGACAAAATGGGAAACAAAGACAAAGCATGTGAAATAAATCACAGCAGTAAGAGAGCAACTAAACAACTGAAGAAATACTTTCAATAATGTAAAAAAGGCTCCACCGGGCGTAGTGGCGCACGCCTTTAATCCCGGCACTCGGGAGGCAGAGGCAGGCGGATCTCTGTGAGTTCAAGGCCAGCCTGGTCTTCATAGTGAGTTCCAGGACAGCTGGGGCTACAGGGAGACCCTGTCTCAAAAAGACCAAAAAAAAAAGGCTCCACTTAGAAATAATCGCTTTGTTTTACAGGCCAATTACTAGATGCTAAAAAAAGTTAAATGGAAGAAAAGAATTCACTTTTTAATAAGAAATCATCTATGCTTTTTTATTACATGAAATGATTACATTAATAAATCTTAAGGGGAAGCATGCATATCGCAAGGGGTATGTTTTTAAATATTTATTTACTTATTTATTGTGTATGTGTATGTGTGTGAATGTACATATGGGCACTACATGTGTGCAAGAGCCTATGGGAGTCGGAAGAGGGCACTGGATCCTCAGAAACTGGAGTTATAGTTAGTTATGAGCTGCCAGGTGGGTGCTGGGAAGGGAACCCAGGTCCTGTACAAGAGCAGCTAGTGCTTTTAACTGCTGCCATCTCTCCAGCTCCCAAGGGGTACATTAAAAAAAAAAATCTATGAAACATTACATTAAAAAAAAACAGATTATATATTGTATCACCATATTTTTTATTTTTATTATTTTATTTGTATGCATGTATTACCTGCATGTAGGTAAGTGCACCTGTGTTGTGCAATGCCCATGAAGGACAGAAGAGGCTGTTGGATACCCTGGGACTGGAGTTACAGACAGTTGTTAGCTGCAA